TCTCTCTCTCTCTCTCTCTCTCTCTCTCTCTCTCTCTCTCTCTCTCTCTCTCTCTCTCTCTCTCTCTCTCTCTCTCTCTCTCTCTCTCATGCATAAAGATATTGACCTGCGAAGACGAAGCCTTCAGCTGTCCCGCGATGCATGTGACAGCGCTCTGAGGCCTGGCGATGGAGATCCAGCTATTGTGCCGTGAGGTGAGTCTCCCAGCATGGCGCGAGTCGTGCATACACCTCCAGGGTCCCTGGTCCCTGGTCCCTGTTCCCTGCTCCGGTATTCTCCTATCTCCACTGCACTACTCTAGAGCTACTTCTGTGGGCCTGCATCGAAGGAGCATGCGGAAGTGTGACTGCGCAACACTGCAAGCCTCTCCAGGACTGGGCCCAGCTATGTAGCGCTGGGCCTACTGGATCTGAGGGCGGTGTGGCTCCTGGGCCGTCCAATCGATGTAACGATTGATGGTCCTGGATGCACGCTGTGGTCCTGGTCCAGCTTTGGTAAAAAATGTGGCCTGCACCCCAGTACTGCATATGGACAAATAGGTCCGAAGCTGAAAAAAACAGTTCCACCCAAAACGTGGTCCTGGCAGCGTAGAAACGGCCACTGGGCCGGGAAAATGGTCCAAACCACACATTCAGACCGAACAAAACCTGGAACAGAAACGTATCAGAAAATGAATAACCGGATCCAACTCACACACCCACCCCTCGAATGACCTATTGGGGCGGACAAAAGGGGTGCTGTGTCCCTGGAGAACCACCCAGTGTAGTGTTGGTGCAGTCCAGGGCCCAAAACCGGGACAATGCTGGGCCCAAGTGACTCCTGTGGGATCTGAGTATGCCACACTTAGCATGGTCCTAGTGACAACGCTAGATAGAGCTCCCCGTATTCGTTTTCACAATCATGCTGTACAGTGCAAGCGTTGGTGTGGACATTGTTGTGCGACCAACATCACAGGGAGGATTTGTGGCTTATAGGGCATGAACATGTACCTAACTGCGGCATGGTTAGCTGGGGGGGCGTGCGAGGCACTTCCTATGCTCGGTTCCCTCTCTTGGAGACCAGGAAGGTCTAGCATGTAGTGCATGGAGGATCTGTGACGATTCAGGAGAGCAACGTGATAGCTGATAAGATTGAACAAATGTTCCAGGACCAGCTTTCCTTTGGATATAGTTGCCAGCTTCACTGGAAGAACTCCCGGCATGTGGAATAACGCGTTGTCGTCCGGAGGAAAGGATCCGCCGGTATGTGAAAACAGCCCTTGGATCTCCCGCGTCTGTGCCCCACGCGAGAGCTGTTTTCCCGGCTCCTGGAACTTGCAAACAAGTAGTCAGCACTGATAAACCATGATATGGAATTGAGCAACGACAAGATATGAGACAGAATGAACAGGGTCGCTGAAACTGTCATTCTAAGACTATGAATTCTATCACATCAAAATATGTCTGATCATTCACAGAATCAACTAAACTAGGACTGGTTTTTGCCTAGGTGCCAACCGATCTCCTCTTGTTTTCGCTGTTAGTTCCCCTTCTCACCCTGCAGCGTCGGTAACGTTTCTCCGCTTTTAGGGATCAGCGTTCTGGCTCTTAGTCTCAGAGTCGTGGTAGGAAACCGATCTCGGCCTGCCGTGTGTCTAAATCCTCTGAGCATGATGCCAAAGTCTGATAAATCCTAACGGTTTCTGAGTCCAATGTCAGACTGCAATTAGATCTCTAGTTTGATATCTGCAAACTGTTTTTGAATTTGATGTCCGCAAAAGATTTGGAGTCTGTTCTTGGTAGATCCTAGATCTGCTGGTCGCAACTCCGCCGCTCTGAGATCTGCGACCTGCTGATTCTGCCAAGAAAAATAGTAGCTCTGTAGATGAGAAACGTTGGAGATTTGCGGCTCGAGATTTTGGACTCACTGATCTGTGTTTTCCTGATTCCTGTCGTTGTTGGCCTGAGATCTACTGTTTCTGAATTCTGCTGACATATGTTTGCTTGTCCGAATTCTTCTGGCCTAAGTTTACTGTCATCAGTAGGCTGAGTCCCTGAGTCCTACTCTTCACTGAGTTTGTTGAGTCCCAGCTCAGTCCGCTGAGTCTGCTGTTTTCTGAGCTTTCGCTGGCTCTGCCTCTTGCCCAGTCCGTATCTTGGTATAGTTTAAATTCTTGAGTCAGTATATCTGTGTTTCAAAGCCTGTTGAGATCTATAGGTCCGAGTTTCTGAATCTATAAACTTCTGCTGGGTCTGACTCAGTCCGCTTTGTAAATTTATGCTCCCTCGTGTCCTTGAGACTCAGTCCGCTTTGTAAAGTCCATAAGTTTCTCCCAAGTCTGCAATTGCGCCCAGAGAGCCTCCCCAACATCCTTAGAGTATGCTGCCACTGTTGCAGTTTCAGTGAGTCTGCAATGTAGAGTCCAAGTTCTGTTCAGAAGTTTTGAGTCCATTGAGTTAGGATTTGTATTATTCAAAAAAGAATAAAAAACATTGCTTTGAATAAAA